CTTTGCCTTAAGAACTAATATTACCCTCCCTTCTATTTTGCCCTTCTCAATTGTCAATCTCCCCTCTATGTAAAATTTTTGCATTATAATATTTTAATTCCGTTTCTATTTTTATTGTGTTATCTATAATACTAATTGTGTGCAATCTTATTCCAAATTGTAATTTTAGATTCGTTCTAAGTATAAATAAAGAAATTCTTTCATGAATTTCTTTTATGTTTCAAAATCAATCGATATTTATTGTAAGTGTTATTTTATATTAAGTATTTGAGTCCCCATACCCTCGACTTTTATTTTTGAATTTGTGTAGACAGATTTTCGAGTATTGACGCGACTAATGAAAATTTGTGATAAGAGCAATTTCATTTTCATTTTTTTAAAAACTGTTTATTCTGTTACTTCAAATTCTCTCATAAGTTATTAATTAATATATCTGAGTGCTAATTTGTTTATATTTTACTCCATTAATAAATATTGAGATGATATATAGGCAAATGCAAATAGCATAGGCTAGAAAACACAAGTATTACAATATGAAAATTTTGCACGCAAGCAGAGAGGGAGAGAGTAAAATCAACATTACATAGTAAAATCATCGGTGATTTGCATTTGAAAATCATAATGAGGAATAATATGTATAATCTTTTGAATTATAAATGAAGGACTTAAGTTGAAGAAAGAACTAAAACATTATAATTTTAAAAACTTTACATAAATTGGAACTGATAATTTAAGGCAAAATAGACGCTCCAGATACGAGGAAACAATGTCTATAGTTGATAGGAGAATTTGACTTTTAAGGCAAAATTTAAATGGAAAATTTATTTTCACCTTTTTGTTTTAGTTTTCTAATGCTTAATCAGTGAGAACTAGTTGTGCTTTTTGTGTTTCCTGTAGGTTATCTCAGCCAAGTCGGTAAATTTATCTGTAAAATCGTTTCAAAATAATAAATTTGGGAAACCTTTCATAAACGAAACTAATGGATCTTTTTTAATATTCTTTGTGAAAGGGAAAAAAGAGAATATTTTTATGATGCAAGATAGGAACTCTCTACACAAATTAGGAAATATTTAATAACCTAATTAACTTCCAAAATGACTGATGAACATTAACAATATCAAATTTTGTAAATGCAGGATCTTTGCAAATCTCCAAGACAAATTCGTAAGTATATAAAATCAATAAATATATAGTAAATCAATTTCAACATTACAACTTGATAATCACTGGCACCAAATCTTCAATAATTTCCATACCATCTAAATTAACGCATTTACCATACCTTAATTCGCAAGAAAAAATTCACCATCTTTGTAGTAATTATTTAAGGACCATTCATCAACAAAAAAAGAAGCCTAAAAAAAAAGGTTAAGGCAAATTCTACAAAAAATGAATCTCTTTCACTTCTTCTTTGTTCTTATTGCTTTGTTCCTTCCTAGTACTGAGAAAATGGTTCAAGCTATTCAACCACATGAAAGTTTAAAAGGTGAAAAAATCTTACAACCTTTTTTAGCAGCACACAAGATTTCAAGAAAGTTAAATGATGTTCAACGATGGCCGGGGTCTTCGTACCGTTTGGTTCCTAGTGGCCCGAACCGGGCCGAGAGTCCAGAGAACCCTCGAGTGCGGGTCGAGCCCAGCAAAAAAATATACACTTTAAATCCGTATCATTAAATCCGTCGTTACGTAACGACCAAAAATGCCACTTTATGTAACGATCGATTTGGTATGGTCGCATCGTTATATTGGATTTTTCTCTCATCTTGCCCTTTATTATTAATAAATAATTTTATTTTATCGTTTATCCTATCTTTTTATATAATAATTCTATCTCGTACCATAATTTTTCTTTATAATATTACAAGTTTATTCTTCATATTGCTGGTGCATGTTATCGAAACGATGGAAAACGATACAGTTTATCCAAATATTATATTTATCAAATGGTACAATACAATACGATACATTATGAAACGACATGTAACAACCATCCAAACAAGTTGTTAGGGTCCGGTGTTCTTTTCGAGATAATTCGTGCTTCTATGGTTCTATTCAATGGCAATTAAGTGTTAAAGCTTATATTTTAAGATTGTTAGCCCATTTAGATTCCGCTCAAATTTAACTCAACCCGCTCATTTTACGCTTTTAATCAAAATGCCACTTTATTGATAGAACTTTGAATTGAAAGCCAAGAAAAAAGAATTATCACGTTTGATCAACATCCTTGGACTTGGGTCAAGCAAGATGTATTACTCCCTCCGTTTCTATTTAGATGACACACTTTCCTTATTAGTCCGTTTAAAAGAGAACGACACATTTCTATAATTGAAAATAATTCAACTTTAAACTTTTAATTTTATCATTTCACCTTTAATGAGAAGCTTTTATAACCACACAAATGTCATAGTCCCACAAAACTTTTACCCGTTAAGTTTTTAAGATGCAAGTTTCAAAAGTCTCCCTCTTTTCTCTTAATTCCATATCGAGTCAAACTATTTCATCTAAATTGAAACAGTAGAAGTACAATCTATGAACTACAAATAAATATACTAATAAATATTTCTACTAACTGCCCCACAAATGCATGTTAATATCGCATACGCAGGTTACTTTCTTAAAGCCATTAACTCTTAGTCAAAGTTGATTACACCTTTTAAATTGTGCAATAAAGTACTTAACCAAAGGCATTTTAAAAACAAGTTACAATAAAGATAGATCAGTTTCCATCGCATTAACATTACATATCCTGCATTATAAATATGACATATCCTCCTTCTAAATCTCCATCACAATTCCAAATCCTATCAATTAGGTGAAAACATACAATCGTAACACAACTAATAGATTTTGTAAGAAAAATGACTTCCGTCTGTATATATGCACTTGTATTCTTGTGCATATCACTCGGGGTTTCTCCGAGCGTTGCACAATTACTTGGCGGAGGCCTTTTGCCAGGTTCAGGACCGGGTCAGGTTGATAACGGACTTTTTCCTGATATTTCCAAATGCATAGCATCAGTGTTAAATGTTCCTGGATGTGTTGAAGAAATTTTAACATCTTTCCTAAGTATTCGATTTCGATTAATTGGTCCTCAATGTTGCAAAGCTGCATTAGACATTGAGGAAAGTTGCTGGCCTAAGATTTTTCCTTTGAGTTCTCTTTTCCCTTTAACACTTAGGAGTTTTTGCTCCATACAAGGTTCATTACCACCAACATTCCCTCCTCCTCAAGTTCCAATAGTTGCTAGTGTGAAGACTGTCAAAGAAAAGAACTAAGTTGTTTATCGTCCTTCAATTTCTTTTTAATAAATGGGCAGCGATGAGACTTGCACCCAGGAGCTATGTTTGCTTTAGGATCATGTTGGATTGTATGATCGTTTCAATTAAATGATTAAGTTGTTAGATATTGCATATTTTCATTTACTTAATTATGTTTTAAGTAGATTTGTGATCTACGAATATTTATCTATTGTTGCATTATGCCAACTTAATCTTGTCACACCTCCTTTTACTCGATGGATAAGGGAGTTTTTTCAATTAAAGTGACATTGTTCGAAATAAGATTATTTATTTAATTCAGAGTCGCCACTTGGGATAAGTTATGGTTTCCTAAGTCACTGATTTATTTTAAATCCAAAATTGAGGAAGTTTGACTCTATTTATGGTTTGCGAACACAGAAGACCGGGTAAGAAATTTTGTTAACCCGGGAGAAGGTGTGAGGCACTCCCGAGTTCCGTGGTTTTAGTATGGTCGCTTAACTATTAATAATTGGCCTAATTATCTGATTTATTATGTGTTTACAACCTATTGTGCATTGTTACTTTTTACCGCTTTTAATATTTATGGAATTTATTTATATAAGTCGCGATGTCGCGCACTTATTATTTTTTTACACATTGCGAATCACATCACGTGTAACGCACCTGCGATTTACAACATATTTATTTTTATTATTAAAAGTTATGGTCGAGTAGCGTGAAACGCGCACTCGAATTGGGGATTAAGTATCATGACTATGCCATGAGAACTGTATCCATAATCACGATAATTTATTATTAATCGCGCCTAAAGCAAGTTACGATGTTTGAATCATTCTTCCTAAACTAATTTGAGATTGTTATAAAGTCATGAGGTATGAATATTATTGCGAAGGAAATGAAGCAAATTAATTATAGGAAAAGATAGACTAGCTTATGTGCTTCACACTATCAATACTGGGCCAACAACATTCATTTGGCCCAGATTCGATTCTTTTGATGTCATCCTATGATCCAACATTTAATAGAACACATTTTCAACTATTTTCCAAAGACCAGTTAACCCAATTCTTCTCAATTTTAACTGGTAAACCCCAGGGACCCTTATTCTTTTAATTCAATTAAACACTAGTCCACTAAGCTAATTAGTATTTAACAATGAAATCTCATCATTTAAATATACGGCAAAGGGTCAAATATACCCCTCTACTTTCGAAAATGGTCTAAGAATACCCCTCGTTATACTATTGGGTTATTTATACCCCTGCAGTCATACTTTGAGTTCAAATATACCCCTCTACTTTCGAAAATGGTCTAAGAATACCCCTCGTTATACTATTGGGTTATTTATACCCCTGCAGTCATACTTTGAGTTCAAATATACCCCTCTACTTTCGAAAATGGTCTAAGAATACCCCTCGTTATACTATTGGGTTATTTATACCCCTGCAGTCATACTTTGAGTTCAAATATACCCCTCATTTAAACGGAGGGACACGTGTCATCGTCCTGTTGGTCAATTCTAAATATCTCCTAATTAATTAAAAAGACTCATTATCCATACCCAAAAAATAATTTTTTTTTTTTTGTAAAAACTGGAAAAAACTAAAAAAATATTTTACTAAAAACTGAAAAAAAATGAAAATATTTTTTTTCTTCAGTTTTTACAAAAAACTGCTTTAAAAAAACTGAAAAATATTTTCTAAAACAATATTTTTGTAAAAACTGAAGAAAAAAAACTAAAAAGTAATTTTCTAAAGTAACTAAAAACTAAAAAAAAAATTGAAATATTTTTAACTAAAAACTGAAAAAAACAAAAAAGAAAATATTTGTTTTTTCAGTTTTTACAAAAACACTACTTTAGAAATTTGCTTTTTAGTTTTTTTTTTCAGTTTTTACAAAAATATTATTTTAGAAAATATTTTTCACCTTTTTTTAAAGCAGTTTTTTTGTAAAAACTAGAAAAAAAAATATTTTCATTTTTTTCAGTTTTTACAAAAATATTATTTTAGAAAATATTTTTCACCTTTTTTTAAAGCAGTTTTTTTGTAAAAACTAGAAAAAAAAATATTTTCATTTTTTTCAGTTTTTAGTTAAAAAAAATTCAGTTTTTACAAAAAATATTACTTTAGAAAATTGATTTTCAGCTTCTTTTTTTTTTTTCAGTTTTTACAAAAATATTATTTTAGAAAATATTTTTCAGTTTTTTATAAAAATTGAAAACAAATATTTTATTTTTTTCAGTTTTTAGTAAAAATAATTTCAGTTTTTTCTTGTTTTTACAAAAAAAAATGTTTCTTTAAAACATTGCTTTTCGGGTATGATTAATGGATCTTTTTAATTAATTAGAAGATATTTAGAATTGACCAACATGACGATGACACGTGTGCTTCCGTTTAAATGAGGGGTATATTTGAACTCAAAGTATGACTGCAGGAGTATAAATAATCCAATAGTATATCGAGAGGTATTCTTAGACCATTTTCGAAAGTAACGAGGTATATTTGGCCCTTTACCGTTAAATATAAGATATCAATTCAAAGGAAATAAATTAAGAACAGAAAACAAAATAGAGCAAACAATCACTGGCACAATATTAAAGAAACAGTAACTTCAAGAAGGGATGGACCTTGATTTGCTGTTGTTTCTCCAAATTTGATTAAACAAACACTTTGAATAAACTTACAGCAACAATGTTGTTTGAAGATTTGCAGGTGTAGGTACATGGATTAATTGGTGGCCAAGAAAAAGAGTGTGTATGTGCATGTGAGTTTTGAGGGAGAGCATGTGATGCCATCTCCAACCTTTACCTTCATTTTCTTCTCCAAAATGTAGTAAACTCCAAAATGTAGTAAAGTTATTCCAACCATTACTCCATTTTTTACTCCAAAAAAGAATATTCCATTTTATATTCTTCTCTCTCTTAAATATTATATTATTATCTTTATTTAAATTTTATTTTTTTATTTCTATTAAAGAAAATCTATCTTTTTTTCTTTTTTACATATTCATCACATATAATTTAATATAAAATTATTTTATACCATAAATTTTTAAATAATATAATTTGTAAGCAAATATTATAGATTATATATATTAAAGGATAATTCAAATAAAAGTGAAATCATTGAGATACAAGATAATTCAATACATATTACATTATGGTAAAATTCATATTAAATATTACATAAATATTCAACTTCCACCTCTAGTATGCTCCCATAAATGATCTATTAATGCATTACGAAGTGCAAAATGAGCATCTTTGTTACTAATTATGGCAAAAATTACCCCCATTATGGCAAAAATTACCCCCATTATGGAGAAATGGGGGAGGGTTGGAGATAGGGCTGCTTATCGGACGGATTGGGCGGTTAATTACTCTTAACGGTTTGGCTTAACGGTTATCGGTTTTTAAATGTATTAATCCGCTAGACACCCGATAAGATATCGGGCGGATTGGTATTGGTTTAGCTCTTATCGGGCGGTTTATCGGCCTAATTCAATCTATATTGCATGTATTAATTGTTTGCTGACCGCCTAACATACAAATTCAGAATAGAAAATTATACATTGAGTTCAGACATACATGTCTTTTAACGCCTACATAAGAATGATGTAGTGTCATGTGTTGTAGAGAAAAAAAGGATGTGGAACAACACTGTTGTTATTCTATTAAACATAGACAACATGTATTAGTTTTAAAAAATAAAAGAAGAGGTGAACCATAGACATCAACTTAAACAATCTTGTTGTAGGGTGGGAGAATAAGCTAAGCTAAGCCAAGCCTGGGATCTTATGATGGATAGTACGTAAGGATTCTGATTATTTAGGAATTAGGCGTTAGAACTTAGAGATAGAGTAGTGGAAGAAGTGGAAGGGTTTTTGATCTTTAATATATATATATTCTTAACGGGTTAACGGATTATCCGTTAAGAAAATTGAATAATTCGCCCCCAAACCGATAAGCCGTTAATAAAAAAATTTCAATCCGTTCCCCGTCCGTTAAACCGCTAAACCGATACCAATAAGCCATTAAGCTTTGGTTTCGGTTCGGTTTTCGGTTTCGGTTCGGTTTTGATGCTCTGTGTTAGTTACAAAAGATAACGAAGAATCTTGTCACATGGAAATAACTCATTGACTCTTGTTTTAATTAATATTTTTTCTTTTCTTTTAAGAGTATAAAAATAAAAATACTAGCTAAACATTTTAAAATCAAGAACATATAATTTTTTTGTGATTTTTAATTTTCTTAAAATAACACCTATAAAGGTGAAATAAAGCTAAAATATCAAGATTAAACTTAAAAGATATTTAAATGCTAAAAAGTGATGAAAAGAGTTAAATATGGTATAAAATTAGGTGCTCACAAATCTCATACTACCACGTGTTTAGTTTCTCTCTTTTTCAATTCAATATATCTATCTATTTATATTTATTTATACTATATTAAAAGTACAAAACCCCTTAACGAAATGTCGTTCGCCTTTTTTACCCTTTAAAAATAGATTTCACCATTAGACAAAATAGTCGTTTACCTAAGTTCCTAATATTTAGGACTTTAAAATTAACTAAAATTTTGGCTATTAAGTCTTTCCTTATTGGAACTATATAATACAACTCATGATATTTAGAAAGTTAAAGCCACATATAATTTAACTTATATAAATACATTCCTAATTTCGGCAAATTAAAATAACCATTAGCCCGTCATTTATGTTTCTTCCATATATAATAAATTGATCTCAACTCCAAAACAGTTTACTCTCTCACATACATTAGATAGACATATTGCTCACTTTATAATTATGATTATATTTCTTCCTAAAGACACTTACAAGCCTAAACATTTATGAAACTAATAGTATAAAACAAAGCCAAAATTTTATTTATTGGAAATCAACAGAGGATTTTGATATTGGAAACATAGAATACAGAATATTTTTGAAAACTACCGTGAGATTTGGTTGCTTATTATATGTTAATTTTGAAAAAAATATATTCTGAAAGTATTAAAA